CAACCTCACGGGTTCCACCGTGACTCTCAAAGGCATCGGACCCCCCCCAAAAGTGTGCTTTTTGGGGTCACGACGGTGGTTTTTAGATCGGACTAAACCGTGAGCATCGAAACCTGTCACTTGACCTCAGTCCCTGACGTCACAGGCAGTTTGCGTCGCAGGCGTTGGTGGCTGGAATCTCACGGTCTGAGGTGTGACACGGTTTTGAGCACGGTGCTTTCAAGGTGTACATATGTTCCATGTTTTTGGAGAACATGTCAAGTGATTAGCTGAAAGTGGGCTACTGGCTAGATCAAAGGCTTCTGAGGTGCCAAACAAGTTAAGTAGCATCTCAAGCATGTCAAGTGAGTTCTTCGTTACCCCTCGCAGGAAGGAGCGGCAGTTCTTGGTTCCCGAGGTCTCTCGTGCCCGGGGCCCCCGGAAAGAGGACAGCGGGCTCTGAGCTCAGGGAATGAAGGTTCCACTCCTTGTTGGGAGATCAAGGGATACTTAAGGCAGTGCCCTGACGTGAAGGTTCCAGACCCTCATTCACGTTGCAGTGCCTCTTTCACAACACGTTTCAGGATGCTTCAGGCCCTCGCTGGGATGGTTCTGACAGAAAAGGCATTGCCAAGAGAAGATACCGGCACCCTGCAAACCCTGCAAATCACTGACACCTGAGTAGGATATGGGAGGATAAGACGACACCGAGACGTACGAAGCTCTCATTCATGATCCGACGTAGCGGCTCGTCGTGCCTGGCTGCGTCTCACCATTTGTTCGTTTGGCTGCGATGGGGAACGAAGTGTCTGAAAAGGTGGTGGCTGAAGGTCTGAGAAGGTGGCGGCTTTGCCATTGCCGAAGATGTCCTTTTTTGCCCAATGGCCTGGATGAGAATTTCATTAAACTGATTTACCCAGACGCTCATGGGCCCAATATGGAGGGGTCGAACCCTCATATGGAGGGGTCTGGGGTCTCAAATCCCTAGGTTTCGAGGGACCAAGGGCTGTTTGGAGCGTCTGGGTAAACTGAATAATGGTAGGCCCGACAATGGTGGGCCCGACTGTTGCGAGCTGCATACAGTATACGCAATCACTGCTAAAAGTCAAAGACTCACTCAGTGTAAGAATCATAAATGTGTCAAAGGTTGGGTCATAAGCCCATGCTTGCAGAGGTTATTCACTTTACTGCAGTTCGTTTGGGTTGAGCCGCAAAAGATGATCCAATACACCAGAAGAAGACATGCATAACGTCCCAACCAGCTCCAGCATCTCTCACACACCCAATAGCCACGCAACATCCAACTGGACCCGTCAATTGGACGTCACTCTAGGTGCTCCCAGACCGAGAGGCGGTGCTGGCAATGGTGGACACATCGTTCGTGACCCAGGGCGGTGCAGGTCGGTTTTCATGGTGTTAACAGATCGACCTTTCCTGGCAAAACAGGTGGTTTAGTCCTTAAAGGTCCTCTCTTCCAGGAGTCACGGAGCTCGGTCGCTCGGGGTGCCGGTTCCGAACGAAGGATCGGGGAGCCGGCGAGCCCCTGTCACATCCACTCACTCCACTCCTGGTTTAAAGTACTCTCTTTGGGGATCTGTTCAATCAATCCAGAAGGTCCATGAAAAACAGATCCGACGGAGAACCAACCTGGCTATCCATGCTTGAGTCGGGTGAGATGTTTCGTTTGAGCAAACCAAGCAACCCCAGAGTTCTTGCTGAGATGGTCGTTTCCGGGAATCCATTGATTTGGGCGCACGCACTGATTTGGACTCTTTGTTAATTGTACTCAGTGATACGGTGAGAAGCTAGCGAGAGAGCTGGGTCGCGTGCTCGCATGAGGTATTTGGTAATTATTGAGTTGGTCAACAATGCTTATGAAAATTGCCTGACAAGCGACGATAAGGAACTCCTTTACTTTTGGGTTCTTTCTTTGTTTGTGTGTGTTTTTGTTCCATTTAGGAGCAGGCAGCAGTGGGTACCCTGTGATTCTCACTGGATGGCTGTTTCGCTTTGCTTTCGAGGGTCTATTGGTTATGACCAACCAGAGCACATAGCCTCCCCAGTCAAACAGTACACATCAACGAAAATGGACGCATCCTAAAGAAGATGGTTGGTGAAAAACATCATGGATAGACTCTCCGGTCTTTCCCAAATTCTTGTGTTTTAGCCTGATAGGTAAGCGGATGAAGTGACCTACGAGGCCGCAGTCCGTTGCCAATTTGGATAGCCGCCCGGACTTGGGAGGCATGGGAGCCATTTCCATCACCGTTTTATACCGTTGTCATCCTCCACTCTCCCTTTGCGCTGAGGCCCTTGGGGAAGACACGGTTGGGATCCCCAGTGAAGCTCAGACTCAGATGCCTAGGCAAGAGAAGTCAACTCAGCAAGTCGGCTCAGTTTGATTCGTTTTTGTGGTTTTGAGTCCCATCCGGCTGTGGATGTGACGACGGGGCACCCCGACTTCCAGTTCGGCACCCCGACATGTGATTTGCCCAAGTGCATTGATTCATTAACCCACCTCGGCTCAAGCTGCCTGCGGCTGCCTGCCTTTGGCAAACGTATGGCGCCGATGGGGTCGACTGCAGATGTCCTGCCAAAGGTGCTGGACTTTGTTCCCCTCGATTTGCATCTCATCTCCCAGCTACGTGCGGTCAACAAGGGCACAACTGGAGCCTACGTGGTGGAGAGAGAGCATCAAGCGATTGAAGGCCTTCTTGAATCGAGAATATGTCCTTGCCTTTCAAGTGCTCAATCCAAGTGAAGAGGACTTCATACGACAACTTGGGCTCGCTCAACGGCTTAGAATGTGGGTCAACTCTCCTTCAGCTGAAAATGCAAGGGTGGAGAGTTGAAGGAGAAGAAGTGAAGAAGTTGAGTCTACCCCCCGTGGGGCACTTGGCAGGATGAGGCAAGCAACGGACGCCTTGTGTGACTTGGATTTGATTTCGGTGCGGTTAATGATGTTTTGGGCTTTTACAGATGGGGAAACTGAATATGTTCTGTCAGGAACTTATAGTGTTTGATAATTCATGGGATTGAATAGGAATAGTATGGAATAGTTCCAAACCTGCACTGTGCTTCATTGCTTCAAGTGGAGTGTTCATTTATGACTCTATGACACAGAGCCATAGGGTTTTTCCTGCTTTCCAGCAGTGGGTGTGAATGCTCATGGATGCCATGAGTGCCGAACGGCATCAAGATACCAACAGATCACCACGGTAGGTGAAGATCCGTAATTGGGAGAATGGCAGACTTCAGCCACCTTCTGAGGTGATGAATGGCAAACTGAGAAGCTGCAAGACATCCTTCGAGACATGGGGCGACAGGCACGGCGAATTGAAGAGTATCATTTGAAGCGGGGGGCATGCAACACACACACAATGGTTTCCCAAACAGATCGTAGAGGGATGGACGATCCCAGTTCATCCTTTGCAAACCTTGAGACATCAGAGTTGATCATTGAAGACGCAGATTCCAGTGCCCACACTGAAATGACCAGAGACCCACACGTCCATTCGGAGGTGATGCTGGCTCTCACCCAGAATGGAATTGAAGATGAAAGAGCTCAGCAGATTCTGCAAAGGTTGTATGATCAAGGTCTCCTTGTCCGCCCTAACATCTCAGAGCCGATTAAGACTTCTGTTCGTTCTGGGAGTACTCATCGTTCCATTGAACTGGTTGCCGCCTCAGCGGTGCCGGCAAGTGGAAGTCTTTCCCAGCCGCTTCTGGAGACGGGCACAGAGGATCATGGGGCCGGAGGAAGAAAAAACATATGCCAAACCCTCAAAACAATGGGTACCCTATGTGTGGCCTTTCTTCCTTTACTTGCTGCTAGCTGCCTTCACATTGCGTAGTAACAACCAGATTGCTAGGGAAAGAGCTTTAGCAGCAAAAGCTACAGCAGATGCTGCAGCTGCAAAAATAGCTCAGACTCAAGCTGAGTTAAAGTTTGAACATATTCAAGCTTTGTATGACAAAAGAAAAAGCTTGTTTGATGCCGAAAGCAAAGTTTCACAAGAAGAAGCTGTAGCACAAGAACACCATTTACAAACTAAACTCAAACAAGTCGAGGAACTGGTGTACCATTGGGATGTGTCACACCGCTTTCCACCAGAAGAATATGTTGGGCGAGTTGGGCATGAAAATTTGTTGTATGCGCCTGGAGCGATGCCGCTTGACCAAAGTAAAAGATTGCTATATGCCAAAATAGCAGCAAGTCACTTGCCAAAGGAGGACCTGGAGCGATCCCGCGGTGTGGCCGCTTAGGATCCATCACTGGTCCATCACTAGAATCTGATAAACTATCGGGATCTTCATTTATTTCCCAGACACTCCATGGGACTGCCATATATGCTTACATTGGGGTGGTGGTTTGGGGGGGTCAATGGGGCGGCAGTCCTATGGCAGTCCTCCCATTAGTCGTGTCTGGGATTGGATCCGCGCGGAGCGATGTCGCAAGTTGCTTGACAATGCGTTTTCCAGCCGGGGATGAGGGGACTCTTCAAGCACTTGTTTGCAAGCCCGGAAGAAGTTGATGGACTCATCAGGCAAGTCTAGGGTGTAGAACTCCGCTGAGAGGGTGAAGGCCTATATCATCCTGCCAGCGGATAAGCGTTGTTAGGGTGTAGTGACAAGCGTTCGAAACGCCGTAGCACAGGTCACCCTCGCCATTGAGCGCCTAAGTAATTGGTGATTAGTGTGTGTGTGTGTGACCGATATGAATGCAACTCAAAACAACAGGAAGTCATCCCATAGCCTCAGTTGAATAGATAAATGTGCTGAGAGACGGAATCAATCGAGCTGAATAATCTGCAGACGCTTGATTCAATCCCCTTGACAGAAACTTGAAGACACTCAGAGACCTGGACCTGCAAGGTGTTTGTAGTCTTCCCGGTTTGACAGAGATGGAGACACCAGGCCGGATCCCTTTCTCTTCCTACAACATCCTTTGCAACTTGGCCGAAAGAGGGAAATCGCTTGGTTGCCAAGTCCTTGAACCTGGTGAATTTTCATTGTATTTGTGTTTCCTTTTTGCGTTAGTACTGGCAACACAGTCCGATTTGTTTAGGGTTTGCTTTCGTGTCTTCTGGGAGCACGGACCAACTGTCCTTGGACGGGTCAGGCACCTGACAGCTGGAGTGACACAGTCACTGCACTCCTGTCATCAAAACGTGTCGCACGCCCACCCAAAGAACCCATGGAATTGAAACACCCTTTATTGTTCAGATCTCAAAACGCATGTATGAAAAGCATTGTAAAGCTCATTGCGATGAAACCACACAAACGAAGAAGCAAATCCAGTTGCCAGCACCTTCCAAGGGGTCACGAATGAAAGCCCATACTCTACTTATGGATCTTCAGACATCTTCAGACAGGGCACGGCCTTCAAGGTCCAGCTTTCTTGGCGCTCTGCGTCCACCTGGATCAACACCAGGTGTGATGTCCCGGTCGTGCAGCTGAACGACCTGGATCGGCTCACTGAAAAGCGGTGACCCCTGCGGCCGCCTGCGGCCCCTGGACCTGGTGGTTTTGGAAGAGGGGCAGTGGAGGGTACACTTCCACTAGATGTCCAGGAACCAACTACATCTTTTTTTGCACCGAAGCGAAGTGTTTAGGACATTCCTGACCTATTTCAGTCACCGAAGAAACCATGTTACAATCATGGTCTTGCACTCCCGGGGCTCTGCCACCTTTGAACTCGGCCCGACTCGCCGTCTTTGTTTAGTACCTGATTGCCAGGTACAAGAGGCTTTTTTTCATCGATTGGCCCGGCGAGGGCTTGCCGCTTGGCAGCACCGCGTTGGCCATCCACATTGGTCATCCACGGCCATCCGTGGCCTCAAAGGCAATATCTACCGTATGGAGCAGAAGGCACATAGGGTAGATAGTTCATATCCCAATATATCCTGCATGGTTCCTATCAAATCGTATCTGTGGAAGAATGTTATATGAATGTTAGTTATGGCTGCATTCTGCATCCGGCGGAACAAGCATGCGTTTCCTGTCTTCTGAGGTTAAAAAGCAAGTTGTTGACCTCGTTGCAAAGCCTTTTGGACGGCAAGGTGAACTCAGGCCCTGGATGCCGGGGCATCTTTTTCATGATGTGCGTTTGATGTATTATATCGCACATGTAGCGCATCTTAGCGCTGTAGTTTGTTTTTTTGTCTTTGTTGGGTTTCAGAGATTCCAATCCCAAGCTGCCTTTGGTTTCGTTTACCTCATCTGAACCATGGAGTCAGCTTCTTGCAGAAACTGTCGTTGATATCAATGTGCCTGGACACAACGATCCTGTTGCCTCACGTTCTTTGGGGCTGGAAGACCCTTTCAATGAATCGCAGGCAACCTCAGCTGAAGCACATCATCCCATCCCTTCTTGTTTTGACCTCGCGCCGCGTGCGCGCGTTGATGACGGCGTCGTTGGCACGGAGGTGGCCCCTTTCGCTTGGTCTACCGGAACCAGGATTTGGAGACGGACACGCCGGGCATCCGAGAGGGGCGGTGGGCGATTGGTTTTCGGTTGGTGTTCGCATGGATTTCTTCATATGTGTTGGTTCACATTTCACATGTCAGTCCATGGAGTCCATAAACAGATCCGATCCAAAGCGTCAAGATCCTCATGTGTTAATCGTGTGACCACTTCTGGCTGGTCTTCTCACCCAAGTCACAGGTGTCACAGGGTTGTCCTGGTGTGCTGCATCAAAGACCCACAGCTATATACTTCTCTCCACCCCACACCAACACATCAACGCCTCCTCCACTCCCTCTTCCACACCAACAACAACGCACGCGCAGAAACGGGTTTACGTGCAGTTCGGGCATGGACTAATGATGGGGATCCGTGCTTCATGGGGGGGGTCATTCTCACCACCACCTTGTACGATGCTAGTGATGCCACTGTTCTCTCTCATATAGCAACGAACGATCGTCCTTTAAAGGTCATTGACACCGCCTGGCGCTCATCGAAGCAGGATCGCCGGACGGCTCACGAACGGCTCTAGGGGTCACGGAGATGGGCGATCGCCTGTATTCGAACGAGTGGCGTTGGTTTTTCACAAGCTAGCTAGCAGGAGGGGTGCTTTCCAACAGAGGTTGAAGAATGTTGAAGAACCCGAACGTTCGACTATCCCAGTTGGGTACACCAGTAAGGTCCTAGTTCAGGTCACTTAACCTCTCTTGGTTAGTTGAACCCTGCAACTGAAGATGAATTAATAGCACACGTGGGCCAAGTAAGTGATGATCACAACACTTCAAAGGAACCATCCTCCATCCACATCACGAGCCATGAATTCACAGCCCCGTGGTTGTGGGGGGGCACATGCTTGGTGCTGATAGACCGGGCCTCTATAAGGACCTTCACACAATTCTTGGCACACCTGGCTTCCCTAATGACCTCACTTCTCCAAAAAGCTTCAGACGTGTCTGACTTCCCCAAGGTTTTTGAGAAGATAATATAAACTTATCAACAAGAATCAATAATGACCTCTGAAATCATACGAAGCGCGGATCCTTCGTTCTCAAGATTCAGACCTGGCATGACCTCCGCCTCGCCTCGCCTAAGGACCTTCAAAGCGGTGGCGCAGTTCTTCGGTCTTTGGCCGCAGCTCCCCATCCGTGGCGCGTGAGACGGGGCCGGACACGTGACGTGACGGGACGCAGGAGACGCGGCTTCTTCGCGTGCTTCGTGCCGTGACGTGACGGGCCGAAAACAGGTGGTTTCTTTCGGAAAAGAAGGGACCCTGACGGAGATGTCGGTCACTGGGATGAGAGGTACTTCTCCATTATGTCACCAGCACCGAAACCAACAGGTCTCCGAAATGGAGGCTTTTGCCGACCTAAGGGCGTCGCAGGTGATGACCTGTTGGTGTCGGTCCTGGTATTATGTGTTCTCCTGTGACCCGCCTGTTCCATCCTTTTCCTACTGCGACTGAGCGACTTAGTCATACCAAAGTCCAGTTACATTGCTGTGGATCCACAGGGTACACCGGTGACGATGGATCTGAGACTCCATGACGATGCCATCGTATGGATCGGTCCTCGCGAGGTCCTCGCAGGTACATGGGATGTCATGGTACGTCCATAGCGGTCACGCCCAAAATCACTTGACCCAAACGCTCCATGTCTGGAAAACAAAACATGCCGAGGAACTCACGGCCAGGGGTGGTGGTGGTGCCAGGGAAATCAGACTCTGGGGCGGCAGAACGGACGAACGCAGTCCCTTCCAGATGGCGGTCGTGTGCGCGGGGTGATCTCACCTCGTCAGGTACATGGGCGTCCTGAGACTCCGCTGGAGAGACACGGTGCGCAGTCCCGTCAGCCGGTCTGGGGAGTCGAAGCACCAACCATTCGCCAATCGGTTTGCAGGGTCTGAATCGGACACCAGTAACGGATCGAAAGATCGCTATATTCAACGCAGCCGCATCACCAATTGTTATGTATAGCACTATATACTATAATAGTAGTGGATTGATGTGGATGGTTTTTTTGTTCCAAGAAGTTGGCAAGGGGGAGCAGCTATACCTGAATGGCTGGTTTGCACAAGAAAGTTGAAGATCTCAATCAATTAGCGTCCCCACACAGAAACTGCCAGCTTCCAATTCCTCTCAACCATGCTCGCCACCATGAACAACCCACCTGTATCAATCACTTGGCATCTCTGAGCCCTTCTGACATCTTCTGACTGTCCATGTGTTCTTCATACACAGCTCCTGTCGCCGACTCTTCAGGTCGCCAACCGCCAACCGACGTTGCAGGTGCTCTTCGTGGTGCCCAGCTCTTCTCTACTGGGGGGTGGACCCTTCCGCGAGGTGCCGCGACCTGGGCAGTGCGAGGGAGGTCAGGGAAAAGGGAAGGGAAGGGCAGTGCTTATACCCGAAAGAGGGTGATAGAGTTGTAAAGGTGCTCATTGTTTGGGATGAGAATGTGAGCCTACTTTTCATGAGAGCCTGTTGAAGGGTTCAAGAGAGAGGGCGAAAATACATGTACAGCGCAAAGGCGTCAGAAAGTACCCAGGTCCTATAATTACCTCCAACATTCGGAACCATGAAGAAGCACTCAGAAGTCCCAAATGGTCGCTCCTTGCACAACTACAGTCTATCCCAGATGCTCCATCATGTATATGGCTACATTGACCTCCAAATCAATCACCCCAAAGCACTCCCATATATATGTATCGTCATGACACACCATTCACTACTTTGCAGCCATGGTACGTTTCATAACGTCCAACGGGACTCCTCCCCTGCGGGTGGGCAGGTGTGACAAGACATGCTAAGACTCCCAAGAGCCTCCACCGGGGTACTGTCGTGCTCGTTTGTGACTCCAGGAGCAACTCGAGTCTCGTGGAGCCAGCAAAGCTCGCACAGCACAGCAGTCAACGAACACCAAGGGGGGGGGGCCCGTCATAGTGGTCTTCGTGTTGAAGATCAGTGGATTCCCTGGGAATCCCGATCTGGAAATGTTCGAGATTCTCACAGCACTCCAAACAGACGCTTTCTTCCTATGTGTCGTAACTATGATCATTAGGCGTCGCAACTTACCCAAAGAAGCAATGTCCACGTGTCCACGATCATATCTTCGAGGCTAGCCAACAAGCAATCAGCCTTAGTTATTGAGCGATGGCAACAAACATTTCAGCGCTGCAGCCGAGTGGTGAAGTCATGGTTCTTGAAGTCACGCCAGAGATGACAGGCCGCGAGCTTAAGCAGCAGATCAAGCAGAGACAGCACTGGGACGAGCTCACTCGCAGCACTACAGGTGTGGAGCTTATTCTCAGAGATGACCACTTGCTAGCCAACGATGCAAAGGTGTTGGACGCTGGAATGGCTGAAGATACTGCCGTGAGTGTTATCTTCAAGCCAAACAAGGTGATATGCTCCAAGCAAGATATGATCGGCAGTCTTGGTGGCATCGCTGACTTGGACTTGTTGCTTGTGGTCGAAATTCCAGATGCTGAAACGCAGATTTGTGAAAACGCTTTTGACAGTTGCCACACGTTGGCCAAAGTGATCATCCCAAACTCAGTTACTCACATGCAGGATTATGCTTTTGCAGCTTGCAGCTCTTTGGTGGAATTGACCATTCCAGACTCAGTGGCCCACATCGGGAATTTCGCCTTTGCCGGTTGCAGCTCTTTGGTAGACTTGACCATCCCGGACTCTGTGACTCACATTGGGCATCATGCCTTCACGTTTTGCAGATCCTTGGCGAACTTGACCATCCCAAACTCAGTGAGCCACATTGGGAGTCATACCTTTACGAGTTGCAGCTCTTTGGTAGATTTGACCGTTCCTGACTCTGTGACCCACATTGGGGATAGTGCCTTTGAGAATTGCACCTCCTTGGCCAACTTGATTTTCCCGAACTCTGTGACCCACATTGGGAGTGATGCCTTTGCAGGTTGCAGTGCCTTGGCCAGCTTGACCATCCCAAACTCTGTGACCCACATTGGGGAAAACGCTTTTCAGTGCTGCAGCTCCTTGGCGAGCTTGAACATCCCAGACTCAGTGACCCACATTGGGAACTTCGCATTTAAGGGTTGTCGTTCTTTGACAAAGTTGACCATCCCAGACTCAGTGACCCACATTGGGAATTTTGCCTTTTTGGGTTGCTGCTCGTTGGCCAACTTGACCATCCCAGGCTCAGTGACTCAGATTGGATTTGGTGCCTTTCAGGATTGCCGTTCTTTAAAGTCTTTGGTGGATTCCAAGTCGAGGTCGAGGTCGAGGTCGGTTGCTCGCTGAACATTGCCCACACGCACGAAAAGGGGACGGGGCAGCCAGCAGCCAGGCGGGGAGAGGCCAAGGTAGCCACGTTCTTCCGCCAGTTTGTTCCAGTGTTTGTACCCTCCAAGCCTACATAAAAATGTCTCCAATTTCTGAAAGGGTATGTTGGATCCACGAATTATGTCTCCTTCAAACCAGGTCTTAAACGTCTACGTCTTTTCCGACATTTCGGGGCCCGGAAGCGATTTCGCCGCGGCGGAGGGATGTGAGGGGGGTATACGTCTCTTTTTCAATTCTTTGCATGTGGAACCGTGTTGGTGTTGTACAGACGGGCTCCTCCCCCTGTCTGCCTGCAAGCACCATGTTCATGGCTGAGAACAGCAGGGGCGCATCATCGTTCTCCAAGGCGCTGCTACGCCCCGAAGAGGATGCCGTGCACGAGGCAGTGATGCCGGTGGTGCCCGGCGCTCGCCTCAGACTTATGGAAGGAATGGTCCTTTTGGAGGGTCGCAAAGCGTTTTGTTGGAAGAGTTACTGGTTCCTTTCAGACTAAGGAAATCACAAGAAATCCAAAGTCTTGTGGTGGTCATTGATCCTTCGTGAACATTAAACATATGCGTGAGATGCCTAAGAGATGAAGTAGCACTACTTGCATCATTGGCCTGGTCTCCAACACCCCTGTCTGGTACTTCTATCGTACTCAATGGAATCGATCACCAGATGCAGCTTAGTGCAAGGACACATGGCAGCACTTGTTGCATCACCCACGAGATACTTTGCAATAAGCACCACATCATCATCAGAGGAATCGGTGACCTCACCAGCATTCAAAAAAACATATGTCAATGAGGCTGAGAAACGGTGTCATTGGCTGTTTCAGCGCACCAGCCGATGTTTCAGTGCATGTGACAGCGAAGGTCTCAAGCTCCTCAAGAGAGGATTCCTTCAGTCCTTGTTGTTTCAGGAATCCTTATGAATTATAGGCTGTGGATGGTTGGTGTGGCTGTGAAGATGATGCGAGACTGGCATAAGAAGGGGGTTGATTGGCGCGTGATGGTTTTCCAGGTGTTAGTGTCATTGGTGTTTTCTTGAAGCAGTTGACAGGTGTATCGATGGGTGCAGTTGACAGGATTCTGCTTTGGGGGGGGGCCTAAGTCCAACATACCAAGAGTGAAGCTGAACACAGGTGCTCGAACTGCCTCACAGCAGGCAATCCTGACGCCTGAAGCCTCGGAACAAGGGACTGGACACGAGGTCCCTCCCTGCTTGGGGTGAACTCATTTGCATCAGTCCACTGCGGAAAAGCCACCGCTGACGACTAGATGGGATCAAACCAGCCAGCCAAGGCAACCAACCAAGTTCCATGTATGCCATATATGCCTACATTGGGGTGGTGCCAGGGGGGGTCAATGTAGGCATATATTCCAGTCTCATGGAGTGTGTGGGATGTCCAGGTCAGGTGGTGGATCCTATGTTGTTCCCACTGGCACCTTGGCGTTGGTGAAAGCCGCAGCGCGGTGTTCACAGCGGGTGTGCGGGGTCGACGTCGACAGGTGGTACTGATGATGAGAGATGTTCACCAAACGGTCACCAAGTCTGATGGTGAACACCAGATTTTGAGTGGTATTGATATCTTTTGATGGTTCCCCTTGCAAAGCAAGGGGAAACGGTTCCACTTGATCTATACACCACTAGGACAAAAGTGTGTTGTTCTTGAAGGTTCCAATCTGAGAGTCCATTCCCGAATCGTGCTGTCGAGGCTTATGTCGCCTCACACGGTCAAATGTCCTCCCTCCAAAGCCTTAAAGTTGTTTCATTGTTACAAGATTTTATAAGATTTTATCAGCAGTTTTATAAGCACCTCCTCAGGTTCGGTATGACTGGACCCTCCTGGCACCCACCCCAGTCCCACCTTCATAGAAGGTACGACTGGAGCGCTAGGGAATAAGTTATAAGCTTAAAGCAGAGGTTGATCATTGACCGTCCCACTCTGGCCACGCGATAGACTGGACTTCTTTTCTTTCGACCGTGGCTGATCCACATAGATGTAATAAGACCCGGAAGAAGCAAAAACACTTTCTTCCTGAAGTACTGTATACTTCCACTCACTGACGTGGAAGTGATCAGCCCTCCTTGTTTGGTCTTTGGACCATCAGATCATGAACTCCATTTTCCATTCATCATGTTCCATCCACCCTTCTTCACGTGCGAAGTGATTCACTGTCTCCTGACCCTCAAAGTGGTGGATCACTTCGCACATGGCCTTAATTACAGGTCAGGAAAACAGTTCCTGACTGACCTCGAGTTGAAGAAACCAGCTTCAGACTAGACTAGACCGACCAGCCCGGTCGGTGCGCTTCACGGAGACGACGGACTGAGTCTAACCGTCCGGTGCTGCTGCCGGCGGGGGCGGAGCTCTTGGGCGCGGACCTGCCAGGTGCGGAGAGTGGCCAGGAGGAAACAGTCATAGACTGTTTATATCTGTTTATTTTTCGTCTATCAGTAGTTATATATGGTGTATTTATTGTTTATCATCATCAGTAGAATTGTATATATCATCAGCAATATAGTTTTCACGATCATATAAATCTTATGCTGGATATCATACAGTACCTGTTCAACAGTATAAGTGTTAAACAGTGGTATACTGTGTATTGAAACGGTTGAGTAAATTGAAGCAACAGTATATTTCAACGGTTCAACTCTTGAAAACCCCCTTGGAACCCTAATTGAACCCAATGACTCGTGGATGTTTCAGGAGTTGAAACCACCACCACCAACCAGCTACTAAGTAGATACCAAAAACCCTCTGAAATAGGGGGAATGTCCCTAGTTGGACCTATTTTTCCAGGTCTCAGGCACTGAACGAGACCCTCGAACCAGTGACCTCAGCAGCAGTGTGGTTGGCTACTAACATCTGCTATACTCGGCTCCAACGCGTCCCGCGTCCCGCGTCCCACCACGCTGGCAGGCACCTCCTGCGATGCCGTGTGCGAGGAAGCGGGCCTGGAATGCCATCCCGAGGAGCGGAGCGGCTTCCGCTCCGCCGGGGTCCGGGAATGGCCATACCGAAGTCGAAGCACCGAGCTGTTTCTCTAAGGGTTTTACACCCACACAGCACCAGCTCGTTCCCATTTTTTCTCAATGGGCGACTTGACTTCCGCATATAGATTTGGGAGTGGTTTCGGTACCTGGAGCTCCAAAAACCTCGCTTGGGGTGGACGGACCCTTCAAGGTCTCGGTGGGTCGTAGGCCGGGGCTTCCATGCAACACCTTTTGGATCCTTTCGGTGGGATCTGGGGTCCACACCCCACTGAAAAATACTGGATTTCATCGACTCGGTGAGCCAGACGTGTCGCCTCTGGCCGAGCCTTCCGTGTGGGGCGTGGCGTTGCACGAACCGAGCTCGTTGGACGTGTTGCAGGGCCCAAGCCGAGTTGATCTAAAAAGCATTTCGAGTTGATTTCTCCCGCGCTGGTTTTGTCATTAAAGGCATGGGAAAGAGCTGGCGGCAAGTCGTGACAAGTCCTCAATAAAATAAAACAGCTCGGTGGTTAGTGACGGTTAGTGGTTCGATAGAATATAATATGGTGTTTTGAAGGGGCCAGGTTTGCCCCTCTTCCACTCAATCCTTCCGCAGGATCTTCCCTTCATCAACAGCTGTCGTGCTCTAGAAGCTCTCAATTGCAGGCGGAAGAGTCCAGCTCGGCTCAACGAGAGGGGAGGAGAGGTCCGGAGAAGCTGGAGAAACATACCCAGACGCGACCTGTCTGGGACTGCACCCGACTCTACAGGTCTCCGAAATGGAGGGTTGTTGGGCCCTGAGAGGTGTCAATTGGTGACCTGGCAGTGAGGGTGCTGGGGACTGCCATATATGCCTACATTACCCCAGAAAAGAACCACCCTGGCCGTGAAACTCGGCAGTCCGGACTAGTCCCAGATGGCGGTCGCGTCTGGGGGGTAGGTCCGGCGTATGCCCAGGCGAGCTGCGGCCCCTCCAGCCGGGCCTCTGCGGGGGAGCGGCCCACAGGATCCATTTGAGACTCCGTTCCTAAAGACGATCACTCATCGACCCAGACGCTGGACCCGAAGCGGATCTGGGGTTTCTCACGAATCCGGACCAGTCGGGCTGTGAACGGAGCGCGGAGGGTCTCCTAACAAAAACGACCTGTATCCTATACACACCCATACACCCCATGGGTTTGGGATAGGACTGCCGAGAAAAGGCCAGGGGTGGTAACACCCTAAACATGGTAGGTGAACTCCCCACGCAGAGAATTCCATCTTAGGTCATTGGGATGTGTTTCAACCCTGACCCGTGCAGCAGCACACCCCAACCCAAAACCTTCTCTTCGAATGTGGGAACAGTGAGCTTAACTGAGTTGAACCGGAAGAACGATCCCACCATGGTGGGAACGCTTCCTGGTGTTGAATGCAAGCAGGACCGGGTAGTCAAACGGTTGGACCTCGTTTTTCGGACAGCAACTCCACCTGCAACCGGTGTCGAAGGTGATGAGAAGTGTCTCAATCACCCGATGGCGAAGAAGCCCAACATGTGGAACCCTGTTTTTTTCCCCACGGAAAAATCAACAGACTTGACTACAGCAAACCCCAGACGCTCCATGTATGCCATATTTGCCTACATTGGGGTGGTTTCGGGGGCCAAGGCATATATGGCAGTCCCATGGGTCGCGTCTGGGTACTAGCTGCTATAAGGAGGCCAACCTAGCAGGTTGATGTTCACAGCTTCTGGTGCTATCCAACCCACAGCCAGGAGTGTCCAAATAGACATACTTCTACTTCGGCCCGGCGACTGCTCGCTCAGCTCGTTCTCAGCTCGCCATGGCACTGCGCATCTCAGCGCTGCGGGCGAGTGGTGAAGAGATGGTTCTTGAAGTCGAGCCAGAGACCTGGAAGTTCAGCAGAATCGGACCGGGTGAAGGCCCAGCCATTCGATGGTCCCGTTCCAATGGTTAAAAAATAGACATCAGGTTTTACCTATGGCTTTGCCATGGTTTTACCGTTTTTTATGGTTTACACATGGTTCAGACACACACTCTGACACTGGTTTTCAGTTAACTCAATTACTCCGATGGGAAGGAAGGCGAGGGAACGGCAAGGTGGCAAAGTCCGCTGAAAAGTATTGTTTAACACAAGTTTCACGACAAGCGCAAGTGGAAGCGGCGTTCAGCAGCTGCAGTGCGGTGGGAAACCTGTTTGTGGGGAAAGTATCGTGTGGAACCACCATGAATCAAACCAAAGGATTGGACAGCTTGTTCAAAAGTTGCAGCAGGTACACAGGGATGATCAGTCCCTGCTTCCCCTTCTTGTCCACAGCTTCGTTGCGTGTGGTAGGACAAGAAGGCCACACGCCCCTGCCTGATTGGAGTGGTCGAAGGAAACCCTTTGTCCAGGGGTGGACACACACAAGTCGCCGGCTTCGGCGCTTTTTTCAAGACACCCCCTACCGTTGAACCAGTGGACGAAAACCTTTTGCCCAGGGGTGGACACACACACAGAGCCGTTTTCGGCGCGGTCAAAGTAGTAGTAAGGCCAGGGGCCTCCAGTGGCGTCCTAACTCCCAGGGGAACATTTGTACAAAAAGCGCCAAATTGTTGGCGCAACGAAGAACTAGTAGACACCTAAAAAGCCTTAGAAAGACAGAAAAAGCAACGAAACAAGAGCAGACTAAGAGGGCAAGAAAGAAAAGTAGGGTAGTTACGAGGCCCACTTAGTTAAACGAAAGTAGAAGGCGAGCGGGACATTCGTCTTAAACCGCCCGGGTAGCTAGCAATAGCTAGGAGAAACAGAAGGAAAGGCACCAACACACAAGTGTGTTGAGTGCGATTTCCTTCTGTTTCCCGAGTAGCGGGTGGGATAGCAACGGAGGCCTGGGGGTAGGGGGGGGGGGGGGGGGGGGGGTGTGAATTCATCCGGCCTGTGAATACTTAGCAGCGCAGGCATGTGAATACTTAGCCGTCAAGTATGCTCAGGCTGGAGAAACAAGCATGACGTGGAGAACTGAACATGACGGATCCGAAATCTGAAAGCTGATATCCGATGTATTCCACAAGAACCGTTTTTTGGCCCGGCGGCCAGTATGTCAGTTGATTCGGTGAGGGTGTCGGTGACTTCCTGTGAGAGTCCAGTGAGTGGTGGTGCGTTGTGGTTGTTGCTTTCCCATGCAAGATCGGCGCCCCTGTGACGGGGATCACACTCAGCACCCGAGTGGGACGGCTGAGCGAGACACACTCTGACACTGGTTTTCAGTTAACTCAATTACTCCGATGGGAAGGAAGGCGAGGGAACGGCAAGGTGGCAAAGTCCGCTGAAAAGTATTGTTTAACACAAGTTTCACGACAAGCGCAAGTGGAAGCGGCGTTCAGCAGCTGCAGTGCGGTGGGAAACCTGTTTGTGGGGAAAGTATCGTGTGGAACCACCATGAATCAAACCAAAGGATTGGACAGCTTGTTCAAAAGTTGCAGCAGGTACACAGGGATGATCAGTCCCTGCTTCCCCTTCTTGTCCACAGCTTCGTTGCGTGTGGTAGGACAAGAAGGCCACACGCCCCTGCCTGATTGGAGTGGTCGAAGGAAACCCTTTGTCCAGGGGTGGACACACACACACACACACTCTCTGGGGGAAAAACGGGAAAAGCCGTTTTTAGCCCTTTCTTCCAGGTTCCGAAACGCAGCACCGACCTCAGGAGATGACAGTCTGCGAACTGAAGCGGCAAATCAAGCAAGGACAGCGCTGGGACGAGTTGACCCGCAGCACTACGGGTGTGGAGATCATGGTTGGAGACAACCGCTTGCTGGACAACTACGCAAAGGTATCGGACGCTGGAATCGCTGAAGGTACTGTTGTAAGTGTTGTCTTCAAACCAAACAAGGTAATCTGCTCCAACAAAGATGCGATCGCCAGTCTGGGTGGCATCGTTGACTCGGAATTGTTGCTGGTGGTCGAAATTCCAAACGACGCAACACAAATCCTTGAGAGTGCTTTCGAAGGTTGCGACACATTGGCCAAGTTGACCGTCCCAGACTCAGTGACCCACATCGGGAATAGTGCCTTTCGCGGTTGCAGCTCTTTGGCAAACTTGACCATCCCGAACTCAGTGACCCACATACAGGATCGTGCATTTGCACGTTGCAGCTCTTTGGTAGAATTGACCATCCCAGACTCGGTGACGCACATTGGGTTTGCTGCCTTTGGGCTTTGCCGGTCTTTGGCAAGCTTGACCATTCCGAACTCAGTGACCCACATTGGGGCTACTGCCTTTGAGAATTGCAGTTCCTTGGTAGACTTGACCATCCCGGACTCAGTGACTCGCATTGAGAACCGTGCCTTTGCAGGTTGCACTTCTTTGGTAAGCTTGACTATCTCAGACTTAGTGACCCACATTGAATTTGGCGCCTTTGCATCGTGCACCTCTTTGGCAAACTGTTCCATTCCGAACTCAGTGACCCACATTGGGGATCAAGCATTTCAGA